GACTGTGGTGGCCGTTCGGCTAGTACCGCCTTTTCTACCTTTTTCGTACCGCAGGCAGGAGGAGACTTTCAGTCCAGAGTTAGCGTGCTTTGATTAAACCTCAGCCCTTGGCTTCCTCTACCCTTCTGAAAAGTAAAGTTCGTATGGTTTTGGGGCACACTAATCCAACTACTAATTTCTTCCTGTGTCAATATTTAACCTGCAAAGTAAAAACGTGAGGGTAGCAATCAACGATTTTTTTTTTTTCCCTGTTGTTGGGAATTGATAAGAGTTACTGAAAGTTCTTGAGACTTAAAGAGTATATTGATGTATTTAGAGACTTGTCATTGGGTGATTGCTGTTCCTGTGGCATAGGAATTCTTCTTAGCAGACTCGCTTTTTGTGTTTGGAAGTAGTTTCTCCCCTTCTCATCAGAGGGTATAAATGGGTAAGATGATCTGTAGTGGAACGCAGAGTTTACACCTATGATGAGTGTGTTGGGTTTGTTTTGTCCTTTTTTCCAAAATAGGTAGTATTAACAGCAGCAGAGGCAAGCTACTGAGTAAATTTGGAAGTTTCTGTTAATTTTCTAATGAGTTGATAGCAGTAAAAGGAACATTACTACCTCTTAATAATGCTGGGGTGTGTTTGGGGGGATTAAAACCAAACCAAACTTGAAGACTGGTCTTTCAGGCTTGTGTGGCCCCTGCAAGGTAGGGTTGGTATACTTACTTCAGTGTAAAACTTGTGGTTTTTTCCAGTGATGTAGCACATAACTATGTTGGGACTTCAGTTCTGTTTATTAGCAGTAAATTTCTCAGGTGAAGAAAACAAATTAGGTGTGATAGTGTACAGTGGAAGGTGTCCCTGTTCATGGCAGGGGGGCTGGAACTAGATGATCTTTTAAGGTCCCTTCTAACACTAACCATTCTATGATATTAAAAAAAAACCTCAAACCCCCCCCAAAACACCCAACAACTAGTAACTGGGATGTTTGGGGTTTTTGCTTGTATGTGTGGTTTTGGTGGTGTGTGGGGTGGTTGAGGTTTTTTGTTTGGCTGTTTTTTTAATTTTAACTATTTCAGGTTAATGGAGATGCCATGCATTTGCAAGGTATTTCAAAAGCTTACAAGAGCCAAACTTAATATACAGTTATTTGGGCAAACTACTATTCTAAAGAGGGGGAGGGAGAAACTAACCAAACCATGCACATAAATTATTGAAGAAGATAAAAGTAGCAGTGAGAATATATCATCTACAGGTCTAGTACCTAGTTAGTATCTTGCTCTTTCCCCCTAGTCCATAAATTCTGAGTCCAAAATATATACTGAGATGATCAGTCTCTGTCCTGTGTCACGCTCCAGCAGAACTAAAGTTGAATTCTTTTACTGAAGAGCTGCTAGAGAGTATGTATTGGAAATTTGTTAATAGATTGATTTGCTTTTGCTGGGGTGCTCACATGACAGGTTCTTAATTTTTGAAGTGACCTTTCAGTCTTGTTTATCTCTAATCCCTTCTTGGTAGTAGTTTGTAATGAGGTTTTAGATGCTTGTCTGCCCTTATTAGGGTAACTGAAGCCTGTGGAGACCAGGTACATGAAGCCTGTGGTCTCTCATATACCCTGAATTTTTTATGTAGTCTGTTGGTGCTTAACTAAGACAAATGCCTCAAGATTTGAAAAAGTATTTATAGAAAATAGGAAAATCTTTAATTTGCTAGGGCATAGTGTAGTCTTGGGCTTTTTCTGTTGAAAAGTTATTTGATTAGCAATGTTATGTAGGAACCTATGTTTTTTATGTGCCCACTGAGAAGTTTGCATTTCCCTTGAGGTGTATGTAATTAATTGGCTGTTAACCACAGGAAATATAATTCATGTATTTGAAAGCACCCTATAATATGTTTCTTGGCAGAAAAGGTAGATGAGTTACTAAACTATCTAATATTTGAATGGTTTATAAGCACAAATAATTTTCTCAAATTATTATGGGAAGGCTAATATTATTACAGTGGACCACCAGGTAATAACAGCACAACTGAAATTCTGCAGTTTATTCAGTAGTTCATTTACATCTGTTGCAAGGGCATGGGCTCACAAAATATTTAAAATTGCTCCCTGTATGATTTGGTTAAAAGAGAGGTTTTTTGTTCTGAGGTATCTTTTCAGCAGCTCCACATCGCCTGCTTGTGAATGGACTAAAATCTGAGGTGGTATGTACAGTTTGTGTTGACTAAGTCCTGCAAGTATTCTGTTATAACCAAAACCCAGATGCATGTGTTGAGAGTACCAGAGAAATATTGGACTGAATACAGGAATTTTTTAGTGTGCGTGAGTGTTAATGGTCCTTTTTAAAAACTCTGACATGAATTTAATTGCTAGTTTGAAGTTGAAATTATGGATTATGGCCATCCATGCAAAACTGACTTGAAAAAAAAGCTGGAAGGAAGGATTTGAAATACCATCTGCCCTAGGAACTGTATAAAACACTTAACCTGGTGTTTTTAAAGGCTTCTGGTTAAGGTGTCAGCACTACTAAGCCACTTTTGATGATGTGTAAATACTTAAGTTGGAAGTGTGCTGCCTTCTTATCTTGAAAGGGTATAGCAGATGAACATGTCTTAAATTTCTTACATTAAATAGGTCAGTGCTTGGTAAATCTTTTCAGCATGAACATGCTAAGGAGCATAGCATGAGCCTGTGAGATTTGTAAAACAAGGATCTTTGTGAGCTACAATTCATATGGTTACAGTAGTAGGCTGCAATGCTCTAACAACTAATCTGCATATTAATACAGCATGAATTTTGCATAATTCTTAACCAGTGTTTAAATGTTTGCTTTAATAGAGTGGTAACACTCATCAATACTGTGAGCTTGCTTGTTGGAAGAATTCTACTTCTGGCTGTCGTAAAGGCTTGATAGCTATGTGTGGGGTTGAGAACAAATTGGCTTGACTTCTCCAACTGCCGAATATCAGCTCTTGTTTAAAATGGGAGGAAGTGCAGTAGGGAGGAGGGTTGAAAACCTTCATTGGAATGTCTTTTGACCATGTGGCTAATGAAAACCCAAGTTGCGATAGAGTTTGACAATGAAAAATAAACTCTCTCTTTGTCTACTGTTCTGGGTGAATGCAGAATTCTCCCCTGAATTTGGAAGCACCACTCTGTTGCAACCATTGTGTCTAGAACTGTTCCTGCATCATATGCACTGGTGAACTATGCTTCACGTGTATCTTCTGCAGTCTCAGTCACCAATACTTGGCTGTTACTGAGGCTGTGAAGGTGCAGAAAGATCATTCAGTTTATACTGGAATTAAAAACCTGCCTTGTGGAATGAGCAGGACACTGGCTCTTCTTAGCTCAGTTCTGTATTGCTGTCTGTTCCTGCTGCTGTCTAGAAGTTGTATGGTGGCATTGCTGCAAAACAGGTGATTTTTTATTTTTTTTTACTTCTGTGCCTGTGTTGCTTTTGTGTAGAGGACTGGCTTTCAGTGTGAATTCACAGTCTAAAAATAACATTTCTTATTCCCCTCTTTGCCAGAAACAGGAGCAGTACAGGTGTTTGCCTACAGAAGAAAGCCATACCTTTTGTGGTGTAGTAAGGAGACAGATAGGTGCTTATCAGTCACACAAGTAGGAAGTCTGAGCCCCTTTCCCACTACTAACAGTGTTTCTGTTGTCAAGTTACTGTCAGTCATTTCTAAGATGTGGTTCCAATATAAAACACAAAGTGGGGATAGTATTATGTTGGTCAGGTCCAGTAACTATGAGATTGTTGACATGGGGAAACTTGATGTTATTCCTTATGTTAAGTTCTGCAGCATGTGCAAATACGTGTGTCTTGGCTAGTGAAAACCAGAGGGCAAAATATTTCCTGAGTGAGCAGGGCTTATAAACAGATAATATAATGCGGGGTTTTTTTGCACTTTTAAGTAAAAGTTTATACTAAAAGCAATTATTTTTGTTTTAGAGGGACTCTGAATATGTCTGGCATAGCTCTTAGCAGACTTGCACAGGAGAGAAAAGCCTGGAGAAAAGATCATCCATTTGTAAGTATGAGAACTGTCAAATTTCTGACTCTGCAGTTATTTTGGTGTTGTGATTGTGATTTTTCTTTCTTTACCCTAATGCGATTTTTTTTTTTTTAAATAAAAAGATGCTTAAACCAATGTACTGCAAAAAGAAATAACTGTAAAGATAAAATATGTCTTGAAGTATTCTAAGTACATTCTCTGAAATCCTCACCCTTTGGCTTTTTGCCTTAATTCAGGGATTTGTAGCAGTACCTACAAAAAATCCAGATGGCACAATGAATCTAATGAACTGGGAGTGTGCTATTCCAGGAAAGAAAGGGGTAAGACTTAAATCTTGTCCTGACATTTTACTTAGAGTGAGAAGTATTGGAACCCTGCTCATGCATTACACTGACAACTGAGAGTGTAACTTACATGCAGTTCAATAGAAATGCTTGGATCCTGCTGCTACTTTAGAATCCAAGTGGGCTAAGAATGATATTGGACAAAATACACCGTGAGCCTCTTCAGCTGTTGTCATGGACCACCTTAACAATAAAGTTTTTCAGAGGAGTGTGTAAGAATCCTGCATTGAGCAAACTTGAGATTATCTTCTGCTTCATGACAGGGTTTATTGTGACTTCTGTTCTTACTAAGTTCTGGTTTAAGCCCTGAAGCTTGGAAGTTAATACTACCAAAATGCTGCCTCTGCTGGTAAACTGCTAGTACCCTTTTTGTCCACAAAATAGTGAGATCCTTCAGTCCTAAAGAAGTGCTGTAGCATTGTTTTTAACTTTTTGGATTTAATGGAAAATAATTCTCTGTTATCAACATGGAATCTCATTGCCTTCCATTTTATGGAATTTTCT